GTCTTTATTCTCATTGGTATAATCGCCCGAAATATATTTGCTTCACCTTTCCTATATATATATAGCCCACACCATGATCACATAATTATGTTCTGTCATATGCGAAAAAAACAAAAAACTTCATCATGCAAACTTGTTTTACCCGATTAATCTCCACGTCTCCGCCTCACATCTTCACTAAACATAGTCAACTACTGCTCCATGGCATTAACAGACGCGGCGTTATCGTCACAATCCTCACGACTTGTGGTGGCAATTAAACTCAAATTACGCAAACATCACTAAATTGCGGTACAATATCACCAGGCGAATGTCAAGACCAATTTCATCGCGTCATGGTAATAGGGGTAAACAGGGAAATGGTTTATTCACCGATGTCAATGGATACGTAATCCGAGAATTTACTTTGATGACAGTGGATATCCTCACTGACACATAAGCCGGTCATTATATGGGGGTATTATTTTCTGATCTAGAAGACGATTAAGACACCACCGTCTTTACTTACTTTTAAGTGTAACACCGATAGTCGTACCCTTGCCTGAGCGAAGCGGATTCTTACTTATCCTAAGGGACCGGATTATGCGGATTTGTTTCAAGCTTTTAAATTACCATCCTGTGACTTTTACAACTGTCTAGAACTCTCAAGTGAAAAAAAATAGACAAACTACTGACTGCGCGTCCGATTTCCCGGCGACGTATTCGATTGCGCCACGCACGTATCATCGCTAAAATTCTATGCGTTTGAAGACTCGTTGGGAAGCTTATTTTTTAACTTTTGTAGACTTCAAATTAATAAGCTTTTTTGTGGCACGTTTTAATGATAAAACTGTAAACATTGCCATGTTACAGGCGGTTCCTGTTTTTCACTTGATTTGCCTAGCTCTATTCGTGTAAAGAAAAAAAAAACATTTCAAATTCACGTAAAAGCCTAAAATTAAACTGAAAACGTGTATAAAATTTAGCCACTGGCCATACTCCCTATGTGCACTGACTTATTATTTCCCGGTACAAAGGTCATATCACTACTGCGGGGAATACAAATAACAAATTTAATATATAGACTCTGATTCGCTGCAGTCTCTAGGCTTAATCACTCGTCAATTATGTCGGCAACTGAACTATTCATTTGAGCGTAAAAATGCGGTTTAATTTTTTACCTGGAAATTTAAATTACGACATTAACCTCTCTTTCGACCCCTCTGTGAATAAAATGGCATGTTAATTTCATTGTAAACAAAATAAATAATCCTATGTGATAATATTTTGACAGTTTTTTCCTAATGCCGGACATACTGGTTTTCTAAATTCCAAGGAGGAAAATCAATAGTTATTTTTTATTAAATAAACCTGTATTTTTTGTAAAAAGTGAGAAAAAAAAATGTTGTTAATACTAGTTTCAACCTGTCACAGATCTTATTTTATTGCACGCGTTTTGTTGGCTGTGAAAGTTTTCAATGAAACAATAATAACAACTTGAAAAGCGATTCTATCACCGGCTAAAATATGGCGTCTCAAGGGGACTGGAATGATCGAGCAAAGAAAATGCATATGAAGTGGTTCTGTGATCTGAGCCGTCACTGAAAGCCTAGCAAATGGCGATGAAAACAATTGAGCCCGCAAAGCCGCCCGTAATGGGGGAACTTTAGCACGGAACAGCTCTAAGAGGCATGGAACACACTAGATAACATCGTGCCAACGCAGCAGCTACGAGGTGGGGGTGATTGGTTGAAACAAGGTCTTCACACTAAACAATTAAGGATATGAAACATCATTCTCAAACAAATAGCAATATGAAGCTTGTAATAACGATGACGGTTATTAAATTCTTATTTATTGAGTGGTATTAACCCGAGGTAGCTCTCTACGGTGTCTCCACGTGTGAATGATCACAGTGAAATGAACATCGTATCGACCACCACGTGATTCGATTGAACGCGGCTTACGTCACGGCTATCATAGTGTGTAGCTATCATTTCAACTTGGCGATACGATCAACTCAACTGTAAACTCTTACAAAATAAAAACAAAATCAGCATTTTATTTCATTCGCGAATACGAGGATTTGCTAGTATACATAATTGCCATTTTTAAGAAAATTAGATTACTGATTGAGATGAAATTGATACGCAATACATTATTTCAGCGCGGGTTGTTCCCTACGGCGACTGTGTTCACATCGACAAAGCGCCGAACTCGCTGACTTACTAACTGGCGGGGTAACTCAGTGCGAAATTACAAGTTGTTTATTTAAGACTTTAAACAGATACAAATTGCACCGCGTCTTCCGAAACTCGTGTTTAAAATCATGAAACGGTGAAGCAACGGACAATATTTTTTTTTTGCGATAACAACGGTTTTTCAAAGCACCCTAAACAAAGTATCAAATTGAGTAGTAATTCTAATCGGGTACAATTTGATTTTATCCTGTTTAAACAATAAGAAGCGATAACATGATTGCCATGATGATAACTGTTTGAAAAACCCGTTAGAAGGATTAAAAACACACACTTGTCGGGACCAATTTGTTTTGTAATGTGGTACGTCTAATAAACAATCCCTTTATCTTTGGCTCACTTCCTCCCGCATTAGTATTTTCAAATATTAAAACGACTCAAATTAAGGAGCGCCGCTCTGCAACGGATTTAACCCCTAACAGGTTGTGGTGATGCGACGTTTCCATGCAGTTGCCCACAAACGGAGCGCACGTGTGAGTGAAAAGCTTCAACTAGCTGTCCATTGTCCGCGATCAATGGAATAGTTTAATGCATTGTCCCAAACACAATGGAACTCAGTTGGATCCCTGCCTGCCATCCACCGCAGAGACCTGCCATTCTTTCTCGTATTGTTCCGCTCCACAATTCATTTGTAATTCGCTAACATACAACGCTAAATACACTTGTATTGGTCAATTCCACCACGAGAACAATAACTACCTTTTTTTTAAAAGCCGAAATCTGTCAACCGTTTCGCGCGAAACATCTCATGGAGCGCCCGTTGCCGGGTTCGGAAAAGAAGACACAAGGTCCCAAAACAAAATTATGTTGAACAGGCTACTTTTAAGACGGAAT